GGCTTTTTACTGGTGCTGATGGACTTGAGTGTAAGCTGGACCTTTCTACAGAAAATGTGTGGCTCATACAGTTTGGGAAACTACCTTTTGTTTTACCTATACAGTCAGAAGCTAAAGCCAAGCTACTGGAGGGGAGAAATCAGTTTAAAAGTGGTTTACATAGAGAATGTGATCTAGCTCCGGGAGTTAGTTATTGCTATCAGCCATGAGTATTTAATGACATAATAAGACTCATTTTTGTGGCTTGGCTCTTGTATCCACCCAACCTTTCCCCGTTTATACAAGCTGTTCTGTTTTTTCTCCACACTTCAGCTTTTCTCTATTCCCAAGGCTGCCACTGTCTCAGGACAGCAAATTTCTTCTCATTTATTGACTTAACCCTATCCCTACCTGTTAAGGGGGAGGCTTTCTTTGCCCCTCCAGGTCTACAGCTTCCTACACCAAACTGAACAGTTCGCCTTGCCTCTTCTCCGTTTCCATGGCACAAACACAAATATCTGCTGAATTGCATTGAAATGAATTGTTTATCTATTCATGTTTAACTGCTTGATATTTAGCACAATGCCTGGAATGAGTAGGCACTTGATAAATGATTGTTGACCGCTCTTTAAGTATGTATAGTGACTCAAGTGTTGTGATTAAGTAGCTGTAAGCAGTGCTAAGAGCTTCCCAATGGCCTATGTGTACCTTTTTATAATTTTTTTTACATATAATACATGAAATTATGTATTATATAAAGATACCCAAGAAATCTGGAAGGCCCTACCTCATGCTTCTCTCTTCTTCCTCTTGCAAATCTTGGCTCATTTTAAATTCATTTCTCATTTTCCTTTTTTTCCATTGCAAAAAATACAGACAAAAAGATAAGAAGGAATCTTGTTTGTCTAAGTGGCTGTGGGGTCACACACTTGTCAAACATCCTGCCATTGAAGTACCTAATCTTTGGTTCGTAGGGTTCTTACAGCTCGGCACTGGACTATATCCTTTTCAGGGAATTTACAATCCACACAAAGCTGGGGAAAGACTGCAAACAATAAAGAACAATAACACCTTCATCTCTCTGCTTTGCAAAATCTGTCTCTTAAGGTCCCCAGACTTACCATCTCCTTTTTGAGGGCTGGCCTGCTCCACCTTCCCTCCCAACCTATCAGCATCAGCATCCTGCTCCAACTTCCCTCCCAACCTATCAGCATCCTGCTCTAACCTTCCCTCCCAACCTATCTGTACCTCCTAAGACAGCACACTACATTTTCCTATGCTGACTCTCACCTGTGTATACAGTGAACAGTTGTCTTTGGGGGCTCTGACTTGGTGATAGCCTGTTCACAATCTCTTTGGCTAGGTCTCTGTGATTAGTTTCTACTTTGTAGATACAGGAATAGAGATGGAAAGAAACTGCATTTGATATAGGCAATGCAGGAAGTTAAGGAAAATTAGATTTGTACCCAGGTCTGCCCTTCCAACCTCTGTTTTAGATGGTTCTTCCTTGCAAGGTCCCAGAACCTTTCTTGTTGCTATGGCCATTGCAATCTTTGTGTGTGTTTATGTGTGTATACATACTTCTCTACATGTTAAATTTTTTAAAAATTAATTTTATTGTGTATGTTTAAGGTATGTGTGGGGGACCATCCCCCACCTTTTATCCCAGGGTACTCTTGAGGAGAGAGGGATAAGAGATTTAGACAGAAGGATAGAGAGGAGAGAAAAAGACAGAAACAGGACAGCCTCAGGAGGGCCTGGATCCTTATCCACCCGCCCAGAACTTTATTCGAAAGGCTTTTTAAAAAAAAAAAAAAAAAGATTTATTTATTTATTATGTACACAGAAGAGGGCACTAGATCTCATTACAGATGGTTGTGAGCCACCATGTGGGTGCTGGGAATTGAACTCAGGACCTCTGGAAGAACAGTCAGTGCTCTTAACCTCTGAGCCATCTCTCCAGCCCTCAAAAGGCTTTTTTAAAAAAAATTTATTTATTTATTTATTTATTTTTGGTTTTTCGAGACAGGGTTTCTCTGTGTAGCTTTGCGCCTTTCCTGGAACTCATGGAGATCTGCCTGCCTCTGCCTCCCGAGTGCTGGGATTAAAGGCGTGCGCCACCACCGCCCTGCTAAAAGGCTTTTTATAATAATGCCAAGGGGCAAGGCAAAAGACCTCCCCCTTGCTAGATACGGCCAAATGTAGACCCTTCCAAACACCTGGTACCCAGGCCGGTGGTCCAACCATCCTCTTATGCAGCCCAGTTGATAAAGCAAGCTCAGATCTCACTAGGAAACCTCTGTGGGATACTACAGTGTAGTGATATATTGTGCACCCTATTAAATTTGCCTGGGGACCAGAGGACAGGGCCAGCCACTAGATTGGACATAGAGGTCAGGCAGGTTTGGCACATATCCTTAATCCTATCACTTGGGAGGCAGAGATCCATCTGGATCTCTGTGAATTCAAGGCCACACTGGAAACAGAGCCAGGCAGTGGTAGCACACACCTTTAATCCCAGTACTGGGAAGAAGACACTCCTTTAATCCCAGGAAGTGATGACAGAGTGGAGAAGGTATATAAGGCATGAGGAGAGGATTTCAGACAGAGGATTTGTGGAGTTGGTGAGGTGAAGTTGGCTGTGGCTTGCTTTGCTTCTCTGATCTTTCAGCTTTCACCCCAATATTTGGCTCTGGGTTTTTTATTATAAGAGCATTTAACATTTGAACAACACACAGGTGTACAGCACAATGTTATAGGATGAAAATCCATGGTTAACAGGTTACTATAACAAAGCAAATTGATACATCTATCCTCTTACCACTATTGATTTTTCCTTTAGTTTCTGTGGCCAGACCAGCTATATTCTACTCATGTAGTAGGAATCCCACATAAAGAACAATTTTATCAGTCTTCCACCTTATGAATCTCAGTGGCTTCTGGTTCTGTTCCTCAAAAGTAGTGGCTTCTCACCCCACCATAGCAGGTATGTAAATCTGTTCTTCCCCAAGTTCTGTGCCCCCTGTAAACCAGAATGCACATTCCTAGGCAGTGTCTCAGAAAGCCAAACCAGTGAGACATGTCCTGCCCATGGCTTGTGAGAGGAGGTAGTGAATGGGTTTGGAGCTAAGTCCATGTGTGTCTTGTACTTTTGACTCCGTCTTCTGGCTGACTCTCCTCAAGTGTCTCAGGGAGATTTCTGACTATGGTCTTTCATCATCCTGATCCCAGGTTAAACCCTGGTGACTCCTGGCTTCAGTTCACCCTGACAAATGGGAACAGTTGTATCCATCTCTTTAAATACGTGACCTAGGCTGTTCTTTAGTACATTTCTGTCTATAGCTCAGGTCAAGGAAGATCAGTTTTGAGACCTGAAAGGCTGGGAAGGCTAGTTAGTGTTAATTATGTTCTATTGAGGATCCACCCAATAGACCAGCAAACAAGGAAATTTCAATTCCCTTGATGAACTGAAGTTCTCAGGAAGGCTGGAAAGGAAGGTGGGGGGCATCCACTTTGGGACTATGTTTTTCTTATCACTGTGGTGTTATGTGATTGATTGATCTATTTATTTCCCACTAGACTGAATTCTTTGTTGGTGAGACAGGATCCATGTGAACTAGGATGACCTCAAACTCATGATCCTCCTCCATATCCTCTCCAGAGCTGAAGTTATATATAAACATGCATCTAGATATTTTTTAAAATTATTTATTGTGGGGTGTGTGTGTATGGGCACATGCCATAGCACGTGTGAGGAGGTCAGAGGGCAACTCTGTGGAGTTGGTTCTCTTCTACTTTGATGTGGGTTCCAGGGATTGAACTCTGGTCACCAGGCATGTGCAGCAAGCAATCTCTTTTATTGCAGCAGCAATCTTGCTGGCCCCTAGTCTGAATTCTTAAAAGTAGACAGCCTGTATCTTATTTTCCTGCACAGTACAGCCCTAGTCTAGGCCATCTGTTGCAGAACATTTAACTATGTAAAGGTATGTTACATTTGTTTAACTCTGTAAAGATGTGTTGCTGTTTCACCTTGCCTGCCTAAGGCACCTGATTGGACTAATAAAAAGCTGAAGGGCCAATAGCTAGCCAGTAGTGGGATAGGCAGGGCCGAGGGGCAGAGAGAATAAGTAGGAGGAGGAATCCAGGCTAGAGAGAGAGAAGAGAACTGGGGAGAAAGAGAGGGAGACTCCCGGGGCCAGCCAGGCAGTCGCCAGCCAGCCAGATGTGGAGGAAGCAAGATAAGGAGGACATAGAGAAGGAAAGGCAGACAAGAAGCCCTAAGGCAAAATGTAGACAAAGAGAAACAGGTTAAATCAAGTTATAAGGCTACTGGGACCAGCATAAAATACTGCCGAGCATCCATAACTGATTATGTCTCTGAGTCATAATTTGGGAGCTGGTTGGTGGCCCAAAAGAAAGCCTACCCCAGTTGTCACCTTGTCCCTGGATAATGTCAACTCTGACGTCCTACCCTGTACTCTAAGCAGAGCACTCAACTTCTGTTTAAAGCTCTGTAGAGACTGTTACAGCCCACAAGACCCCGCCCCCTCCTTGTTTTCCCCCTCTCCTGGCCTCACTACTTACTACCAACACCACAGGGATGCTTCACTTCTTTCAAGTCCCCGATCCAAGTTGCCTTATGAATGTGGCTCACCCAGGCAGCTCTCTTTAAAAGGACTATCCTTCTTCTTGTGTTCCACACTGCTCTGCCCTGACCTGGTTTTTCCCCTATATCATTCAACGTTTTCTAACATATTACATAATTCCTTTTTATTTTTATCCCCTTTCTCTCTGTCCAAGAGAGAATGATAGTTCCCCCCTCCCTTTTGTTCACTCATTCATCTTAAGCACCCGGGGGTATCATGGAGAAAAATGGATACTTTGAATTCCCATTGCTTCAGATAAAAGTGTTGAGTGTTTGATGATGGCATGGAGGGGAGGCTTCACGCTGTCTTAGCTCAGCAAAGTTGTCAGGGACAGTTCTCTCAGACCTCAGCTTTCTCATTCAACCAAACTCACTGACATCCATCTAACAAAATCGAATGTAGGAATACTGAGCACCTGCTGTGAGCTCACAGTTGTTCTCGGTGCTGCTGGGAGCGTACGACGTGACTTAACCCAACATCTGCAACAGCAAAGTACTACCTCCCAAGGTCATTAAGTGTAAAATGATAGGGCAGGTTGTCAATGCTAAGAGTTCAGAGGTAAGATCAGTGAAGACTGAAGGAAGTCCAAAGTTTACCACAAGTCTGAACAACCCTGCTAAACGCTCCACCTGTTGATAGCAAAGCCACAACCCGGCCAGCGAACTTGAGATGGAGAGGATGACGCGGCAGGGGCAATGACAAGATGACATGCCTTGGTAGGGAGGGGCCTCGAACCCCGCTCTTGACATCCCGAACGCAAGCAAGGTCCAAAGTGCCCCGGGGGCGGCCGGGAAAATCCAAGCTGTGTGCTAGTCGGGGCGGCGCAGTGGCAGAGGTGGGAAGGCGGAGGTCACGAGGTACATTTCTGAGGAGCTGGAATCCCGGGAGAGGGCCCGGGGCCGCCTCGGCCGCCCTTAAGCGTGAGGCGCAAACACGGCCAGGCGTTCCGCACCGGCCACGGTTGGCTCCCGCCGTCCGCCAGCGGGCGGAGCCGCGGGAGCCCAGGGGCACTACTTGTCCCCGCGGAGGAATCCCTCGCACATCGTGGTGGCCGCGACGGGGCGGACCGCCGCGCGGAGGACGCCGGGCCGGCAGCGCTGCGACGTCGCGGGAGGCGGGGGTGGGAGGGAGCGGGCCGGGAAGTAGTTCCGGGTGCGCGGCCCCGGATGTTGGCTGCTCCCGCCGCTGCCGCCGCCGCCGCCGCCGCCGCTCTCGGCGCCGCTCCGGGCCTGGGCCACTCTCTAAGGGCGCCGTTGGGACCTTTCGCGGGGAACGGAGACGCACGCAGCGGCCGGGGGGCTCGGCCGGGCCGTTCCGGCCTGCGCAGCCTGAGGTGAGCAAGCGTCGCCAGGGTCTCGTCCGGGCTGGGGCGGCTGGCGGGGAGGCGGCGTTGGGACCTTTCGCGGGGAACGGAGACGCACGCAGCGGCCGGGGGGCTCGGCCGGGCCGTTCCAGCCTGCGCAGCCTGAGGGTTTCTCTGTGTGGCTTTGCGCCTTTCCTGGAGCTCACTTGGTAGCCCAGGCTGGCCTCGAACTCACCGAGGTCCGCCTGGCTCTGCCTCCCGAGTGCTGGGATTGAAGGCGTGCGCCACCAACGCCGGGCATGAGAATATGATTTCTAAAGAGTTAAAGAGTCATTCGGGCCCAGCGGCGGCCCGCTGAGGTAGACAGGCCCGGCGGCAGAGACAAGCAGACGCAGGTAGGCCTGCGGCGGGGGCCGGTGGAGGTAGACGGGCCCAGCGGCGGCAGCTGACAGGGATATTCAGACCCAGCAGCAGCCGGCAGAGACATTCGGGCCCAGCGGCGGCCCGCTGAGGTAAACGGGCCTGGCGGCAGCGGCCGACAGGGACATTCAGGCCCGGAGGCAGCCGGCAGAGACATTCAGTCCCAGCGGCGGCCCACAGAGGTAGACAGGCCCGGCGTCAGAGACAAGCAGACGCAGGTAGGCCTGCGGCGGCGGCCCGCGGAGGTAGACGGGCCCAGC